AACACATGCTCCATCATATTTGTTGTTTCGGCAATAAAATATCATTTCCTTAGGTTTCCAAAAGAAAAAATAGTTTGTCTAATTCACATCTAGATGTTTTTTAAGGATGCCATATCTAAGCTTCCACAAATATATAATGCAACAATAAGAAACAAAAAAATTAGGAAAAACAAATAGACCACAAACAAAATAAACATCACCTTAGATGTGACATAACTACTACCTCCGTCCGGGATTTTAAGGCCAGCGAGCCATCGAAGGAGTCTGTTTTTTCAAGGCTGCTGACATGCATCATTGATTTTCTCTTGATCTGCGTCTGGTAGCTCCGCGCGAAGTGGCTGCATGCAAAAGCAAACAGTGCACGGATGGCTACATGCAAAAACTGTCTGCTAAAGTCTCTGCATGCAGTAACTACCTGCTAATTTTATTGGTGGTTACTGAGCTCGAAGATCTCGCGTCCTCAGAATTAATACTGTGTCTTGGGCCCAGAGTTTTGGCTAAGGGGATCTTTAAACCCGGACGGAGGTAGTATGTTACATCTAGATGTGTTCTAGATAGACCCAAGAAAAAAAAAATCCCCATTGCGTTTCTCTTACCTACCCTCTCGGAGAAGTCAAGTCACTGAGTCCGACTCGGGCTATTATAAATTGAAGACAGATGCTGCATTCCATGGAGATGACACATGCACTGTTGACGTCGTACTCTGGAACAATATTGATGAGGCTATTGTAGGTGTGGCATGTCCCTTTAATTCCGTCTTAAACGCTACCTCGGCGAAGGGGTTTGCTTTGCTGAAAGGACTGGGGCTCGTTGAGAAGTTGGGTTGCACTCGTGTGGCAACCAAGTTCGACTCTAATGAGCTAATCAATGCATCACTAGAGATATTAAGCTCCCTTGAAATGAAGCCCGGAGAGAGCTCCTGCGCTTTTTCCCGAGTAGACCCCATCTGTCACTGAGAGGTCTCGGTGTGGCCCCCAGTACTACCATGCAACCGACGTTCCTGGGTTTGACCGCGTGCCGGTTCGTTGGGTCTTCTCCCTCGCGTTCTCCAGTCCCCTCCCTCTCCCATCCTTCGCTCGCCCGCGTTTCTGGATCTATCCCTGAAGCGCGACCATGCCAACGATGCCACTTCGATCGCCTCGCAGTGGCGTTAGAATTAAGGGCGCCACCGCCCCCATGCATCGCTTCGACCGCCGGTGGCATATGTCCTCTGTGTCGAAGTACTGCAGACGTTCACCATGCTTCTCTGCGACGGAAGCGTGACACAACAACCCCTCACCGAACGTCTCCTCCCTAGATCGAGATGTTGGCCTACTACGCGTGCTCGCCAATCTGCATATCGCCTTCGGATGCGGGCGCAACGGGGTGAGATGCGAAACTGCACGCCGGCGTCCGTCATTGGCATGTGGGAGAACGATACGCCGGCGCTGGCCAGGGCGTGCGCTCGGGACGTCGGGTTGCACGTAGGCCTTGGCCTCGGACATGTTCGCTTCAACCATCTCAACGAGTGCCCCAGAGTTCATTGCTTCAGCTTGAGGAACCAGGCAGCTTGCTGTAGGCGGATCGAGGCTGCAGGAAAAAGGACCCAAGGCACGAGGTGTGCTGCCTGTGATAAAGGGTGGGGGTGGTCCAATAGTCTTCCGGATACACGGCATGGATTTCAAGCTTAGGTGGTGTTTGGTTTCCTAGTCCTAGAACTTTTTCTAATCCCTAGGATTTTTTGAAAAAGACTCTCAAGGAGGTGCTTCTAAAGACTTTTAGTAAAAAGTCTCAAAAAAATCACACCCTATTTGGTTTGCTATGGACTTTTTCTAGTCTCAACACAAAAAAGTCCCTGAAACCAAACACCCTCTTAGTTTCCAGGTTTACTTTTCGCATCCCTTCGTCGTCCTTCGGTTCAACCTGGTGCTACCTGTTTTGTTTCTCCTCAGGAAGATGAAATTGATTTTAGGTTCATGTCTTCTGTTTTTCTTTTGACGGGGGTTCGTGTGCCTGCACCAAGAGCGTGTTGGTTTTAAGCCGGGTGTGGTACAATCTTCACAGCATTGATGTTCACATACCACTTGAACAAACGAATCGCCAATACACCTGTGGCCGAGAATTAGATCTAATCGGCGCAACGGGAGTTATTTCAACCAAGGTAATTAATAGTACTGGCGAACAGAGCTTGACCTAATCAACATCCAGTTAAAAAATGTTTGGCGTCAAGTTGCATTACCCTTCCATCAGTACAATTTTTTTTTCTCAAGAGTGGTAAACTGTTACTTTCTATTCTTTCTCTATGTTAGTTTTGAACTTGTTAATTAGGCTAGATCCTGACTGAATATATGCTACACGTTTGTATTATTTTTGCTAACACCTTAGATGTTTTATGATACTATTTTCAATTTTATTGTGGACAGGTCTTTTATATGCCTACATGCCTACTTAATGTGTGCTCACTGTAGATTTGTGGCATATGCATGTGAATGGTCTTTCATATGCCTCTTCCACCAGAATGATTCGCAGATTTAATTGTTCAAGGCTTCAGTACCATAACAAAAGGTCAATGAAGTTGAAGGTTAGACCTTTATATTAAAAACATCGTACCGGATAACTAGATGATTATTTAGTGTATCAAATGTTAATTATTGATTTTATTTTAACTTGTTTTTAGATGTCACACATATTCTAAAAGCTTGTGATTTTTTATATCGTTGTGTGCCTCACTGCTCTACATAACATTGTCCATGGTCCACAAATTGCAGTGGTTTATCTTCTGATACCAGAATTGCACCTGTAAATATGATGTTGTAGCTACATTACATTGAATGAGCTTATTAAGATGAAAGGTACATATATATAGAATTTAGCAATTGCCCACTGAATTGTCCGATTATATTCCTTTTGCAGTTCACGTGGACTATGTTTCACATGGGCCCTTTGATAATTCTTGTTTGTTTAAACCATTCTCCTCGGAAAAAAAGATGTATATCTATACTGCATTGCGAACCGTTGAAACAAAGTAACAAATATCAATACATACTTGATGATGTGCTCCTTCCACGTACGAATTTGATGATGTGCTTTGTGTAACTCGCATGTCACATATTATTGCTTTAATATGTGGTCAAAGTTAGCCTCGAAAAACACATTAGGCCCTATATACATGTAAGGAGGGAGTAAACTTTGTAACAAGATTGTACATATTGGAAGTACCAAATTATTGTGTCCTGGTGGCTAATTCATTCCGATGCATGTTCCTTTTTTGACGGAAAATGCATGTTCCTCATACACATCCATTTTCTATGTCATGTCATCAGGACAGTTGTTACAAAATTTATTTTAGAATGCATAGAAATCAAAGAATGACACAAATGGCCTCTAATTCATTGAAACACTTCGTTACCACAGTTATCACATCACAACGAAAAACAAGTTGGCACATTAACATATCTGATTGCATATATCTAATTTCCGCTGTTGTCTTTCATGGAAGAAGAACGGCGCGGCAAGGCGTGCATTTCCATCTAGTACAATGGAGAGATAGAGATCTTTGGTAAGCTACCTCGGCGTTTGCTTTGCTGAAAGGACTGAAGCTAGTTGAGAAGTTAGGTTGCACTCATGTGAGTGACAATCAAGTCAGACTCTCATGAGTTAATCAATGCATGCAATGGAGAGATAGATACCTTTGGTCCACACATTGCGTTTTTAGAGCATCTCTAGCAATCTCTAGCAAACCCCGTGTAACGTACGAATCTGTAAAATAACCGTTGGCTCACAGTTTTCGGCGAAAAAAGTGACCCAAATAGAAACCGTAAACGGTTTCGACCCGTAATTTTTTTTAAGGGACGCAGAAAACATCCCGGCCGAAACTGTGAATATAAGGATTTCGGAGTCAAGCCGAAGGGGCCCTGCATACATGAACGACCATTGGCGGGAGTTTAACTGCCATCGGAATCTTCATGGTCACTCCCATCCGCTCGTCCCCGACCCAGCCGCCGCGCTCGCCCGGCTCTCGAACGGAGCTAAGCTAGCTGCTAGCTCAATCGATTCGCACGGCTAGCTAGATGCGTATCTCTCGACGGCAGCCAAGGCCGCCGGCCGCCCTGGCCTCCGTCCGTGTGCCGCGGCCGCCCCGTGTCTTCCTCGTCCGCTTGTCCGCCGGCGGCCGCGCCGATCGATTTCAAGTTGCCTCGAGGAAGATGACGAAAAAAAGGCTAGTTGTGGGTATATTTAGAGAATATTCCTTTTTACGTGCTGATTATACGGGCTCTGTTCGGTCGCAGCTAAAATCGGTCCTTATAATACGTTTTTCTCAGCCCGTAAACTTATACGGGTCGTAGTTTTAAGGGGTCTGCGAGAGCCAGGAGTTACATTCTCACTGTCCTACGGAACCAATTGAGATGGCTCACCATTCGGCGAAGCACTCCTATGGTACTCTAATTTTGGCTGGGATGGAGATCCTCCCAATTTCATTATGCCTTTTGTAACAAATGATGTAAGTTTGTTGGCTGAGAAATAAAATACCGAGAGGCTTTCTCTTAAAAAAACTAAATGTGTTTCCAAAAATACATTAAACTAGGGGAAAAAACAGTTGTCTGAGCCCAGGTTCGAACTGGGGACCTTTAGTGTGTGAGACTAACGTGATAACCAACTACACCATCCAGACAAGGTGCTAACAATCGAGTCAATATTAAATATATTCTTAAATTCCTATTTGAAGCGTAATCAAATCCTCAGCCAACACCAGAACAACTCGAAGGCAAAAAACAAACGACGAATCGAACCGTACTCGAATTTTCAATCGAGCGTATATATACGAGCATAACGCAACACGCCGTATGCAGCATCGATCTTTTAACACCGGTTGCAATGAAACCAAGTTTAGAAAAACATACCACCAAATTGGATTACAAGACCCCACAACCATAGCTGATAGCTCTGCAGACAGACAGATCTTAAACTAAAATCCAGCGGAGGAGCTCGAACCGATCGATGCTGGCGGCGGGCGCGCCCGGCTAGCCGGTGTAGACGTGGACGCCGACGGCGATGAGGAAGATGGTGACGAGCGCGAAGTAGAGGACGGCGTGGATGAGGATGGAGAGGCCGCTGGTGTGCATGCTGCCGAACTCCGCCACCCGCCCGCGCCCCGGCAGCGTGCACAGTAGCCCCGGCGTCAGCAGCACGAACAGCACCGTCGCGACGATCACCGGGCCCCAGTCCGCCATCTCCCTCTCCTCTCTCTGATCTGTTCTGTCTAAAACCCCCAAATTTTGAGCGAGACTCTGGATTTTTTTTTCTGGGAACTCTCCAGGATGTGTGTGTGCAGTGCGGCGGAGACGGGGGAGGTCACGCATTAATGTGTGCCTCTCCAGCTTTGCTCGCAGAGTGGGGGGAGTGGGTGGCCGCCAGCTCAGCTACCCATGCCGCTTGATATGCCCGTGACATGTGGGCCGAATGTTGTCCTGAACGTATTGGGGCCCACACGACATTGGCTAGGTACTCTCTTGTGCATCGGGAGGGGGAAAGTATACGTTCCGTTCTAGTCGAGGAAACCTTTGCGTGCGTTGCGTCGCGTTGCCGTGGGCGTGGATGGAAGGAACCAGAAGGAGCTTCCGTGGGTCCGGGCCGCCGAAAAACAAAAGAATGAGCGGTGGAGGACTTATCCGGTGCACCGACGCCGACGCCGACGCAGCAGGTGTAACAGGTGAATGCCGATCGAAATCACTCGCTAGTCGCCACTACTTTCTCTGTTCGCATTCATCAGGCTCGCTTAGCCATAGTGAATAGTAAGTTAGGCTGGCCATAGTGAGGTAACATAAATAGTATCATAGATTTGGGACTCGCAAACATGCTTATGTGACAGGCAATTTAAGAAAAGAAAGATGGTTATAGTAATATAGGTAGACACTGTAACGTAATAAATGTGATGCTAGTATGTGTCATGCATGACAATAAATGAGACCATCTATGGTACTCCCCCGTCTCAGTTTACAAGTCCTGCGCGTATACCTAGGTTGTCAATTTTATCACCCTAATATAAACTATATAACACAAAAATTATACGGTTTGAAAATAGAACTTCTGAATTTTATATTGGTATATTTTTTGTAATAAATGACTTGTATTAAATTGGTCAAATTGACGACCTAGGGATACGCACACGTCCTGTAAACTGAGAGAGAGAGGGAGTATTATGCATTATAGAGGTAGTAATTACTAGTCTAAGTTACTCCCCACTATACCAGCCTTAGACTACTAACATGCATATGTTACTAGTCTATATTATCACCTCTACAATGGGGACGTGTGTTGTTATGCAACGCTTTATTTATTAGGTTATAGATTCAACCCTTAGTATGTATGATGTTACTCATAGTACGGATATTGTCTTTGGAGGCCGAGCTCCATGGAGCTCGGTTTTGAAAAAATTGAATTTTGTTGAATTTCATATTTTCTACATTTCAAAAAATTCTGAAAAAAAACACACATATATATGAAGGCCTAACACACACGTGTGTAAATTTTCAGGGCAAAATAAGTTGAAATGAGGGCTGTGCAAAAAAGACAAATCTGAGGTTTTTTAACACATGACACTATTCATCGTCCCGGACCAGGAATTTGTCTTTTTTGTATAGGTCACATTTCAACGTTTTTCATTCTGAAATTTTACACACATAGGCATAACATACTTGTTTACTTGCACAATTTTTTTCAGATTTTTTTGAAACCGAAAAGTTTGAATTTTGATTTGTTTTCAAAAAAAGGCCTCCATGGCTCCCGGGAGCCAAACGTCCGTTCTCCTCATAGTATTAGTAACTAGCTATGTTACTACACGCCTTTTTTTCCATTAACTGTTTGTCACATCATCTATTTTATTTAGATATGTGTAATGTTACCATCTATGTTACTTTCACTATAGGTAGTCTTATATTTGGAGTGAAAATTTGAACATAAATTTTGCATTTAAAAGAAGATTTCCACCACACAATTTAGGCGATAACACGTGAATGCCGATTGAAATCACTCGCTAGTCGCCACTACTTCCTTTGTTCGAATTTACCGGGCTCCTTTATATTTTGAGTGAAAGTTTGAACATAAATCTTGTATTTAGAAGAAGATTTCCACCACATAATTTAGGGGACTATTAGGCGCCGGCAGGCCAGCCCAAACGCTCAGCCTGTCCCATGTCACCCATTAGATACAACACCTTCAAACTGCCAGATCTAACCTTTCTCGGTCGTTTCTGGCCTAAAAAAATCAGACGATGTGCTCGAGCAGATAGCCCTAGCGAACGCCGCCGACTGCCGCCATGGATGGGCAGAGCGACAACCCTCGAAACACCATCGGCTTGTTGCCAGTTGTTGCCCTCGCAACGACATCGTCGGTGATGGAAATATACTCTAGAGGCAATAATAAAGTTGTTATTATTATATTTTTTTATTCATGATAAAGGTTTATTATTCATGCTAGAATTGTATTGACCGGAAACTTAAATACATGTGTGGATACATAAACAAATACCGTGTCCTAGTGAGCCTCTACTAGACTAGCTCGTTGATCAAAAGATGATTAAGGTTTCCTAACCATAGACATGAGTTGTCATTTGATAACGGGATCACATTATTAGGAGAATGATGTGATGGACAAGACCCATCCGGTAGCTTCGCATATGATCGTTCAGTTTATTGCTACTGCTTTCTTAATGTCAAATACATGTTCCTTCGACCATGAAATCATGCAACTCCCGGATACCGGAGGAATGCCTTTTGTGCAATCAAACGTCACAACATAACTGGGAGATTATAAAGACGCTCTACAGGTATCTCCGAAGGTGTCTGTTGAGTTGGCATGGATCGAGATTGGGACTTGTCACTCCGTGTATCGGAGAGGTATCTCTGGGCCTTCTCGGTAATACACATCATAAGAAGCTTACAAGCAAAGTGACTAAGGAGTTAGTTGCAAGATGATGTATTATGGAACGAGTAAAGAGACTTGACAGTAACGAGATTAAACTAGGTATGGAGATACCAACGACCGAATCTCGGGCAATTAACATGCCAACAGACAAAGGGAATTACGTATGTTGTCATAAAGGTTCGACCAATAAAGATCTTCGTAGAATATGTAGGAACCAATATGGGCATCCAGGTCCTGCTATTGGTCATTGACCGGAGAGGCGTCTCGGTCAAGTCTACATCATTCTCAAACCCGTTGGGTCCGCACGCTTAACGTTCGTTGATGTATAATATTATATGAGTTATGTGAATTGGAGACCGAATGTTGTTCAGAGTCTCGGATGAGATCACAGACATGACGAGGAGCTCCGGAATGGTCTGGAGGTAAATATTGATATATAGGACGATGATATTTGGTCACCGAAAAGGTTTCGGGGTGTACCGAGTATTCATCGGATCACCGGAAGGGGTTTCAGGAGGTATATAGGCCTAATGGGCCAAGGGAAGGCACATACCATCCCACAAGGGGGCTGGCGCACCCTCTCCCTGGCCGCCGGCCCTAGGAAAGGAAAGAGGGAGGGCTAGCCCCTCCTGCCTTCTCTCCACCTACG